CATGAGGGGTGTTGTCTTGACTCTCAGTATAAAGGGACTCTAATGGCATCCAGGGCAATGGAGATGTTGCATGTGTGAGGAATTTGCGTTTTCGTTCTCACGGACTCAATAAGAAGGAGCAACATTTTTACAACACTGTACGCGCGCTGGTTCCTTTTCGCTATATGCGATCCAAACAGTCCAATTATTTCTAGATAAATTCACAATGTCGCAAAGAAACTCAGTGATATTTTACTCCATTGCTACAATATTCAACGCTGGAATTAACTTAATAATAATTAATCTGGTTAACGCGCATTCAAAATTAACGGAATATCATTATAACGCTTGGATGCAACTATTCGAACTTCATGGATGTCCGTGTTGCATACGCACGAGATTGAAGGCGTTTTGACTTTCCAGATACTCAGCACTTCCCCTCACCAATGGCGCGACGTGACGGTGCTGGTGGGACGCTACACTGAGCTCATTTTCTCAAAATTGTATCTTTATACTTACGATTCTCTTCGCTATAATAGCAGAATTAATATTCGTGCCGTAGCGATGTTTTTGAAGTATAGAGGAAGAATTCAACGTGCTCCGTAATTTTGAATCCTCTCAGTACGGCCCGAGGGTGAAGCGCTGAGTGACTTGAAGGCAAAACGCCTTCAATTCCGTGCGCATGCAACACGGGCATCCACGGAGTTCGAATAGTTGCATGCAGGCGTTATAATGAAATTCGCCCCGTATTTATCTCATGCACTACCCATGGAGATGTTGCATGTGTGAGGAATTTGCGATTTGACTGTTCAATCTTATGTAAAAGTTCGCGAGAAACACGATGGTACCACTGGTTTTCTCTGAAATTAACTCCCAAGCTCAAAAAAGCTCTCAAGTGGAAGCCAAAATGGAGGGGATATCCCACGCTATCCTGACAGTCCACCTCTGCGTCAAGAGGAACTCTCCATGCAAAGATAGGGAGCAAATACATTGACAGGGCTGCCACTTTATTTGGGGACTCGAAAACTGAAAACACGGCAACCCCGCATTGTAATACATTGTATGTAATACATTACATGTAATACATTGTAATACATTAGTATTTGCTCCCTATCTTTGCATGGAGAGTTTGTCTTGATGTAGAGGTGGACTCCCAGGGTAGCGTGAGATATTCCCTCCATTTTGGCCTCAACTTGAGAGCTTTTTTTGAGCTTGGGAGTTGATTTCAGAGAAAACCAATGGCACCATCGTGTTTCTCGTGAACTTTTACATGAGAATCAACAGTCAAAACGCAAATTCCTCACACATGCAATATCTCCATTAGAGATGAAAAGTGAAATTTCACGTTTTGAAATCTCATGAAATTAGGCTCGAATAAATTTCACAAAATTTGAAATTTATTAATTTTTTCCGGAATTATTGATTGAACCTTTGGAGGAAAGGAAAGAAAGTCAACAAAAGTAAGTCAACAAATGAATTTCAATTATCCAGAGTGATCTATTGGTACAATTGTTACGAGCCGTCATTTGTAAAGCACGCATTTGACTTAGTTTCTGCATAAATTTACTCATTTTTGGAGGGAAAACTTTCGTTCATAAACATCCCTGGCCATCTTCGTCATTCAGTCGTTTGATATTAGAATCCGAAGATTGTCAGAGACATTTTTAGTGTTAGAGGGTTGGCTGCCTTTTTGGGCCCTTAGAGCTCCATATTTCGAAAAGGCCGGACTCTCCCAATATAGGTACTTTAATTTGGAGGGTATGGATTCGATCGACATGAATCGATCGAAAAATGAAAACGTGAATCGATCGACGTGAATCGATCGACACCGATTCGATCGACAGTTAATTCAAAAACACCCGGATCGATTCGATCGACATGAATGGATCGAAAAATCAAAACGTGAATCGATCGACGTGAATCGATCGACACCGATTCGATCGACAAAATTCGATCGACTCACGGATTTGTCGATCGATTCACGGGTTTGTCGATCGATTCACGGGTTTGTCGATCGATTCACGGGTTTGTCGATCGATTCACGGGGTTTGTCGATCGACTCACGGGTTAGTCGATCGACTCACGGGTTTGTCGATCGACTCACGGGTTTGTCGATCCATTCACGGGTTTGTCGATCCATTCACGGGTTTGTCGATCCATTCACGGGGTTTGTCGATCCATTCACGGTTGTCGATCGAATCGGTGTCGATCGATTCACGTCGATCGATTCACGTCGATCGATTCACGTCGATCGATTCACGTTTTCATTTTTCGGTCGATTCATGTCGATCGAATCGACACCGATTTTTTAATAATTTGTCGATCGAATCGGTGTCGATCGATTCATGTCGATCGATTCACGTTTTCATTTTTCGATCGATTCATGTCGATCGAATCCATACCCTCCCTTTAATTTTACATCAGGTCGCGCGGCACGCGGCTGACTCCGCGGCGCGCGCTGATTGTGAGAGCGTGGCTTGAGATAGTCATGTTTATTTGGGCGTGTTTGCCCGGCCGTGCTCGTATTTGTGTAGGCTGATTGCATAAAACGCTGTCCTGCCCGACGGACGCGTATTTGCTCAACTTGCACATGACAACTTGCAGATATGTTCACTTGCAACGCATGCAGGGAGAGGGGTGGGAAGAGTAATAAACTTTCCGGGGAATGGGAAATGATCATTTCCGCGCAGAAGTTTGCGAGCATTTTCTCTTAGGTCTGGCATAATATCCTCCTTGTTTGTTTTGGGAGTCTCGCACTGGGGGAAAAAAAAAAAAAAAAAAAAAAAAAAANAAAAAAAAAAAAAAAAAAAAAAAAAAAAAAAAAAAAAAAAAAAAAAAACCCATTGGATCTAGAGTCCAGACTCTTAAAAACATCGACAAGAAAAAATATCCTTGATTCAATCAGAATCCAGCTTAAATCAAGAACCAAGCCTCTTAATTTGAGCGGATTTCCTTTTGATTTAAGCTTAAATCTGATTGAACCAAGAGTCCTTTTTCTTGTCAATATTTTCAAGAGTCTGGACTCTAGATCCAATGTGTTTTTTTCCCCAGTGCGTAATAACATGAATTTGGAGGATTTTACACTTTTTAAGGAGTGAATTTTGCTCATATCTAGCAAAACCAATTCTTTTTGAGAAGTGGACTTCGCTCTTTCTTTACGCGAACTGAAATCCTCATTCTGATCAGTTCGCCTTCAATATCTCGATAGGCAATATGACCGGCCTGGGAGTAGTAAGTAATAGTTGCTTGCAGTAATATGCCCATGTTTATTTGTGTTAAATTGTCATTAGCATCCTCTTTCACTCCTAATCATATCACTCAGGTTTTCCGGGAGCAAAATGGACACCAGAGTGAAATCCAATCCAGAATGTACTCCAAGATTTCTGGAAGTGCACGTACGTACGTACGTGACAGACCGTTACGGAGTCAAATCCAAGTCGCAGGACGTTTGGCAACCGAATTACATCAGTGGTCGCGTAGTTTAGACGACAAAATGTCGGTGGTTTGCAGTGGCGTGGCGTGAATGATCGATTATCGATATTCCTCGTTTGACGCCATGCTAAAGTATCGATTATGAAGGTGTTCGGTGCGAACACCCTATTAATCGATCCTTTTCCATAGATTTAAATGGTAGATCAATCGATTTATCGCAAAGCACGCCACGCCACTGGTGGTCTGCTCATCTCCAACACGCACCACATCATCCTTCTCCTTCGTAAAATTCGCAGAAACGAAGCGCTCATTCCACAGCAGCATATTAAATTAGCAAAGGGTAAATAAAGGACTGAGTGTTTGTTCTTCAAGACGGAGAGGTTTTCCCTGTTTTTAAAATCTTCACTACAACAATGGTTCGGTTTCAAAGGGTTGCCAAGTGACTGTGTAAGGATCTAGACTCCGTGCCTTTATATAGATTGCAACAGATTCCAAATAGATTGTCAAAATTAATTTAATTATAATAATTTAATGTAATATTGACTTAATCTTCAAAATTTGAATAATTTTCAATTATTCGTGGTCAAAATTTTCAGAAATCATCCACTTTCAGAAATCAGTACTCATAATTCATATTAAACACTGAAAAAATATGTAGAATTTTAATGTCCCATTTTTAATGTGAATTTTAATGTTTTCAAGAGTCTGGACTCTAGATTCAATGTGTGTTTTTTTCCAGTGTACCATGGCCATCGATGTGGGATCCCCATCTTTCCCACGTACTTTGACCGAGGAACTGTCGGTTCCGGCGAGCGGGGTGATTGGCATTCTGGGCGTCGCGACGCTACAGCGATCGGGCACG